GGCGACGACGACCGACGACGACACCGACGACGCCGACGACGACGCCGACGACGCTGCTGACGACTTTGAGCCGCGCGGGCGGGCGGCCCACAGGATGGCCCCGCGTCACGCGAGGAATGCGCTTGCCCGCGTGCACGCCGCATGGCGCGGTCTTTCTCTTCCGTGCGGAACCGGAAAGGCACCGCCCAGAACATCGGGGCGGCGCCCTTCTTGTTCGCACTGAGAAGCAAACAAAAAGTCATGCACGTACGCCAGTCCTGGCCAGGCTTACCCCGAACCCAGCGTCGGTGCATACTCAGGAAGGCGTACACACACACACCGATCCCTGGTCTCAGGATGGCCCTGGCCAGGATCGGTGCATGTGCGCATAAGTTCCCTTCCGCCAGAACGCTGGGCAGTTTCGCCTGGGCGCGCGCGCGCGCGCCCGAACGAGCCACGAACGACGACGACGACGACGACGACGACCCCGAGCCCTGGGCGTTGCATTTTCGCTCACCCGCGCCATTCTCTCGCCCGGTGTCTGGCCCTGGGGGCCTCCCGGCTCGATGCGGCTCGAACAACATGCCGCAGCCGAATGGTGTCGGGGGCCCGCCGTGATGCTCCGAGGCGCTGCACTTGCTTCGCGACGTCGGACCTCCGAGGGGGAGGGCGAGCTCGGAGGGACAGTGCCGGCGGCGGCAGCGATGGAGGACTTCCTCCCCCTCGGGCCCAGAGAGGTGCACCCCCTCGAGCGGGGACTCGGCCACACGCAAGAGCGACCCTGGGTATAAGAGTGACCTCTGGTGCGCGGCTTTGGGGGGGGCCGCGGGGAGGCCACACCCGGGCGCGCCAGCCACTGCTGCCGCTTCGCGTTCCGCCACCTGGGGGCCCGTCTGTGCCCGCGCCAGAGGTGGCTCTGGCGACAGGTCACTCTTGCTCGGGCGGGGCCGAAGGGGGGGGATAATTAGCAGAGGGGGGTTTGAGAATCGGCTCACGTGTAGCTGCTTTTCCCAGCGCCTCCCGGCGCTGGAGGCGCCCATGCATCGAGGAATGGGCCCGGCGGCGGGGCCGAAGCCAGCTGCATGCAGCAGATTTCGTACCCCCCCCCCTTTTTCCCTATCCCCCCCCAGACCTCCGACGCCGTGATTTTGTCAATACGGGGTCCCCGGAAGTCTCGACCCATTCCCCAGGACCGGTTTTTCATCCTGAATCGTTTTTCGACGGTCCCGGGGCCCGGCGAGGGCCCCTAATTATCCGAAAATTGTGAAAAACGTCCGTCTTGATGTTTTCAATGCGTTGGATCTCTGGGGCCTCTCGCTCGGCCCGAGAAGCCGGGGCCGAGGCCGGCGCGGGCTCCCCCCGAGCGCGCGGGCCACGGCCTCCTCCAGTGTGGCGGCCGCCGGCCGCGGCGCTTCGGCCTGCGCGCCGGGCGTGCCCTCGAGGGCCGCGGCCGGGTGCCGCCCCCGAGGTTCTGGCCAGCAGCGAGGGGGAAGCCTGCGACGCCACCAGGGACATCGAGGCCTCGGGGCCCGAGGTCCAGCAGTGGAGGCCTCCTGGATGGGGTCCGGGTATAGCTGGGGTCGGAGGATCGCCCCGCATCGCCGACGCATCGTCGGCGATGCGTCGGCGATGTGTCGGCGACGCTGGCGCGGAGAGAATCAAGCTCCACGTCGAGCCGCATCGCCGATGCATCGGCGATGCGGCGCGATACTCCGACCCCATCTACTCGGACCCCATGTGGGATGCCTAGAAGCAGGTCCCTCTCCCGCGCCTCTGGGCATGTCCAGGCGCTCGTCCACTTGCAGGCCCAGGTCACGCTGCGTCTGGACGGACGAAGAAGCCGCAACCGTACTACGCGACGGACTCCGCTCGGGGAAAGTGGCCAGAAAGCTTGGTGCTGGAGTCGAAGATATCCTCCTCCTCCTCCTCCTCCTCCTCCTCCTCCTCCTCCTCCTCCTCCTCCCTCCTCCCTCTTTGCTTTTCCACCTCCTCCTTCTTCTTCTTCTTCTTCTTCTCCCTCCTCTTCCTCCTCCTCCACCTCCTCCTCCCTCCCCCATCCACCTTCTCCTCCCCCTCCTCCTCTCCCCATTCCTCCTCCTTCTCGTCGTCCGCCTCCTCCTCCTCCTCCTCCTCCTCCTCCTCCTCCTCTTCCTCGTCCTCCCCAGGCAGTGTGGCGGGTGCTGGTAAGGGAGCGCCCCCTTTCTCTCTCCCTCCCTGCCGGGGTGCGCCGGAGGCGCCTGAGGTCCACGATCGGGGGCGACGGGGCAGGGCCGGTTGCCTGCACCACCGGAGCGGGCTCCAGCCTGGGCCGCATGGGTCGGGGCGGACGAAAGGGGGGGATAGGGAAAGGCGAAGGAGGAGGAGGAGCAGAAGGAGGAGGAGGAGGACTAGGAGGAGGAGGACGACGACGAGGACGAGGAGGAAGGGGGAGAGAAGGGAGGAGGAGGAGGAGGATGAGGAGGAGGAGGAGGAGAGGAGGAGGAGGATGAAGGAAGGAGAGGAGGAGGAGGAGGAGGAGGAGGAGGAGGAGGAGGACGAGGAGGAGAGGTGGGGAGGTGGGAGTGGGTGGGGGGGGGGGGGGGGGGGGGGGGGGGG